CCCTTAACACCTTGTCTGTAGGTTGTGCCAAGGACTGAGAGGTCCTTTTGGAATTGTAACACTGCGCATATGACAGGAATCACTCTTAGTCTAGTTAGACAAGCTCGATTACACAAATGTTTTTAACGTACACAAAAAATGGACACGCTATTGGTATGCTTTTAATTTAAAATCCCATCTATAATTGGAATGCATTTCCTTGATGAATTATATTTTTTAACTAAGAATGTAAATAATGAAAAAACATTCTTTTAATAGTATGCCCTGTTCAAGAGAAGTTCAAATGCATCAGGACTCGGAGCAGATCTCAGAGTTCAATGGGAATTCACTTCATTCTGAAGGTAACATTTTATGCTAGTTAGTAGCATAAGGGATATAACAGCTTTATGCTAGCTCTTTCTAAAAGATGTATAAGTGGCCCAGCTGTGGGAGTATAAGCAGGAGGAAGCTGCTGTGTGATGTCTGGGGTCACGTGGGGGGCTGAGTTGAGATCCCCTATGGTCCTGGCTGGCAGAGGTTGGCATGGGGCTTTGCAGTGTGGTCAGACCCTGGTGAGAAGTTGTCTCTCTCTCCCTTTATCTCTCTCTCCCCTGTGCTCACTCGTTCTCTCTCATGAAAAGCAAAAGTGTGTAAATGCAAAGCATTTTGTTGTTGTTGTTTACGTCAATGATAGGTTTTATTCACACACATGTGAGAACTTTAAAAAGTTAATGGAAAATTCTGAAATCTATGAATAGTCTTTCCATGACGTGATTTCCACGAACTTTTTGAAGACAATTTCCCCCTCATATTTACTTTAAAGGTAGTTAAAAACCAACAGTTTAGGGCCGGCAGTTGGCATGGAGGTTAAGGCAGCTGGATCTCACATGGCAGACTACACAATTGGGTCTTAGACCCAGTGGCCTGAAAATCATGCAGGCGCATGTGCCTGTGTGCCCAGAATCCTGAGAGAACAGAGGAGAAGGGAGTAAGGAGGCCGTCCCTCCTGTGGGGGTCATTTCTCATTTTCCCTTTTTCTCTTTCTCTCTAATAAGTGCACACACCCTATCCTTAAAATACTGTGGATTTTGTGTCAATATTCGATGAATAACCACTGAGGACTCTTTTATTTGGCCAGGGTATTCTTTCCAAAGTAATAAACTAATGAAAGCTATTTTATTACCTGGTATATGGAAAGGATGATGAGTTCTGGAGTCAGACAGAAGTTGCATTACCTTCTGGCTGGATAATTTTAGACAAGTTATTTAACCACCTAAGTCACAATGTTTTCATTTATAAAATGAGCCTGGGGCCAGAAGGTGGCTTGGTGGTTACAGGCACCAGACTCCCATATGGCTGACCATGGTTCGAGTCCTGGACCTGGTAGCTTACTTTTACTTTCTCTCTCTCTCTGGTGAGCATTTGTGCCCTGTAGCAAATTAAAAAATAATAATAATGGGGTCTGGCAGGTGGCATGGGGCTTAAGGGCACTGGACTTCCACATGGCTGATCACAGTTTGAGTCCTGGACCTGGCGGCTTACTTTCTCATTTTTCTCTCTCTCTCACTCTGTCCCTTTCTGATCAAATTTAAATAAATAAATAAAGTTAAAACGATACAAATAATTCTTTAAATAATAATAATAATGAAAAATAAATAAGTAAATCTTAAAAAAAAAAAAAAAAGAACCTGACCTTACCTTCCTCATAGGACTGTTAAGAGGAGTACAGGGAAGAACAGTAAGTGTACAGCGTAGCTCAGAAAATGTGGCATACACTCCATTCAGGTTATTTCCTTTCCAATGTGACAAAGCTACCTAGTGCCAAAAAAGGGCATCTAAGCTCCTGACTGACTGGGAGACCATCTGTCCTCATAGCAGTAAGGGAATTTATTCTGAACCCAAAGGATCTTTCTGTGCAGCATCATGGGTCACACAGTTCCAGCACAAACAGGTCAGTTCTGTGCAGCCAAAAAAATCATGGCAGGTGGTGGGTGGGTTTGCCTGAGCATCTGCCCTCACCCTGGTTTTGGTAACCTTCCCATAAAAATTTAATAAGGCAACTTTTAGAATTTGGAAAAAGTGAAAACTAGCTTTATTTTACAGATGAAATTGAATATGAAAACCAAAAAAGGCTGGAAGAAGAAGAGGATTTGAATGTGCTTACCTTTGAAGATCTTCTTTGCTTTGCATATCAAGTTGCCAAAGGAATGGAATTTCTGGAATTTAAGTCGGTAAGCTCCTGTTTAAAAAAGAAAGAACCTGGGCCTGCGAATGACTGGTTTAAAGCAGCTGGATCTTACATGGTTGACTGTGCTTGGAGCCCCAGACCTGGCGGCTTGAATAAAGCACATCGGGCATGTGTACTTCTGTGCCCAAAAATCTCCAGAGGAGAATGGAGGAGACGGGATTGTGGTGATCATCTCCCATGAAGGGTTCTTTCTCATGCAGCCTGTGAGCCCTATAGCAAAAAAAAAAAAAAAAAAAAAAAGAGAGAGAGAGAGAGAGAAAGAAAAAGAAAAAGAAAGAAAGAAAAGAAAAAAGAAAACAAGATAAAATATAGTTTAAAGTCTGCCTCTGCCCTCCTTCCCTCCCTCACTTCACTGGTGGAGTCACCTTGAATAGCTAATGGTAGCTCAGAATCTTTCACTAGGTAATGGTTACCATAGCCCTCCCAAGCTCTCCAAAAGTCCCCTGTAGAAAGTCAAGATAGGACTCCCTGGAAATCCCTTTGCTAATCGAACTGTAGCATTATTGCGTCTGGCCTAATCAAAGGTGGTCTGATTTCCCCAGTGCCTAGAGACAAATTTTAACTTCTCCGTGAGAGAGGCAGGTTCTTTTATGCCTAGTTCAAATGGCAGGCCAAATGGAGAAAAGAAGGTACCTGGATACAGGGGTTTACTGTAGAACACACACATGCACACACACGCACACACATGCACACACACGCACACACACACACCAAGAACAGGCAAATGTATAGTCACAAGATTAAAAAGCAAATAAATTGTGAAAAGAGCAAACTAGGAGAGCTTATGAACACACTTGTGTTAATAACAAACTAAACTCCTTCTTCCAGGGGAGGAATCTCCCTCTTGGCCCAAGACACGGTCCCCTTAAAGGGGCATATGAAGGGTCTGGAATGCTGTCAGTATTCAGCAATGAAGTTCAAAGATTTTTCCAGTCGTACAGTTTCAGGCTGCATCTGTGTTAGTTGAGTGGATTCTTGCAAAGAGCAGAGTCACAGACAGACGTGTCTCAGGCAGCAGTTCAGAGGCCTGTATTGTAGCTCCAAAAGATGTTTTATCTTAGCTTCCAGATGTCACATGTGAAGGAAGGGTGCCAAGAGCCTTCCATCAACTCATTTGTATATTGACAAGGTGGCTGTCAGCTCGCTTGCCTCAGTTCCAGCTGGCATGACAGAGTAAAATTCATACCATCAAAATAAAGTCATATGCATTCAAAATAGAGCTAGTGGCAAGATATAATTGCATAAGCTTTAGAGTCAACAAGAACCATAAGGCTGTAAAGTACGCATCGTAACAGTCTCTCCTCGGCCCGTTGTCCAGGTTGTGCCCAGGCATGGGCATTTGACCCAGCGGCTGCGTGGAGGCTGAACACCAGCCTGCTCTGCTTGGTGTCTTTGTCTAATTTTCACCGACAAGCCATGGGCCTCGGTGCTAATCCCAGACCCCTTGGGGCTGCGATGGCCAGGCTGGGGAGCCTGCCTCACGTTAAAGCCATGCCTCGAGCTACTTCCTTTCCTCATCTTCTTGCTTTCTATTACCTTCTCTTTATTTCCCCAATTTTATCCTTTTCTTCCTGGTTCGAGTCTCTTGTTCTCTTCTTCTTCTTCTCCTTCACTTTCTCCCCTTTGCCTCCTTTCTCCCATTTCCCTGAGTTGGAAAGACTAATGTAAACTGGACGGCATTTTTTTTCCTTTAAAAATGTATTATCTGGGCCAGCAGGTGGTGTAGTGGTTAAGGCACTGGACTGCCACATGGTCGAACATGGTTCGCATCTCAGACCTGCCAGCTTGCTTTCTCACTTTCTTTCTCTCTGTCTGTCTCTCTCTCTCTATTCAGCACACATACTCTGTAGCAAATTTAAAGTAATAGTAATAATAATAATAATAATGATAAATAAAATTAAATAAATTATTTTCTTAAAAAATGTATTATCTGGGGACCGGCAGGTGGCGTGGGGGTTAAGGTGCTGGACACTCCCCCTTGAGGTGCTGGACACTCCCATGTAGCTGACCATGGTTCGAGTCCTGGACCTGGTGGCTTGCTTTCTCACTTTCTCTCTCACTGTGTCTCTCTGGTCAAATTAAAATAAATGAATAAATGACTAAATAAAATTGAATAAAATAACTCTTAAAAAAATGTATTATCTAAGGCTAGCCCATGGCATGATAGTTAAGGCAGCTGGATCCAACATGACTGACTGCACAGTTCGAGTCCTGGACCCAGATGCTTGAGTAGCATGTCAGGCATGTGTGCACATGTGCCCAAAATCTCTAGAGGAGGGAGAGATGGAGGAGAAGGGATTGCGGTGTGACAATTCCCTATGGAGGGGGTGCTTTTCTCTTGTCCCTCTCTCTCAGGCAAGCACACATGTCATCTAGCAAAATTTTTGAAAAAAAAAGTTATCTTAGGAATATTTTCCCACCTCTTCCCTCAGAGGCACATTCTCCTCTTCATCTTCCTTACCTTCTGTTTGGATTCCTGCCCACCTTATTGTTGATGTGTAGTTCACCTCCACACCTCCACACTGCTTTGTCGCATGTCTCTACAGATGCTGGACCGCATCCACCTGGGTCACCTGGCCTGCTTTACTGCCTCTAATGAACTACTTAAGCTACTCACAATGGGCAGTCGGGCACTGTTTTCCACTGACTTGTAACAGTATGGATTCTCGGGACCAGCAGTTGGCGTATTGGCGATGTTGCTGGACTCCCATGTAGTCGACCACGGTTCACGTCCCGGACCCAGGGGCTTAAACTCATGCCGGGCACGTGTGCGTGTGTGCCCAAGATCCCGAGAGGAGAATGGAGGAGAAGGGATTGTGGCGTGGCCAACCCCCCTGGGGGGTGATTTCTCACTTTCTGTCTCTCTGTCTTTCTCTGTCTTTCTCTGTCTTTCTGGTGAGTGCATGGGCCCTATAGAAAAAAGCCTCTCCGAAAAAAAAATAAAACAAAACAATATGGATTCTCTCCCATTTCATCTTCATCTTCAGCCCTCCCCTCTGAAGCATGCATACCACTGTCTCTGCCCAGTTCCCCCTCTGCGGCACGGCTCTGCTTACCCCTCGGTTCCTGCCACAGGCTCCTTGACTTCCTGGAACATTTGTGGAGTGCTGTGGTAGGTGCTAGAGACACACAGTTACAGTGTGACTCCTGAGCGCAAAGAGCTGGTGACTGATAGGGGAGAAAGAGACTAGCAGACATGCCAATCCAAGATGGCTCTACAGCGTGACACGTATTGTGATGGAAGTCGGTTCTGGGGACCTAGGGAGGACGTGCACATCAGACTTGCGGGGCAGCAGGGCAGGGAGATGGGCTGAAAAGGCTTTCTGAAGAAGTTCGTACTTGGGCTGGGGGAGATTTTTGATGGAAAAGGAAAACTAGGGACCAGCAGTTAGCATAATGGCTATGTCACTAGATTCCCATGTAGTCAACCGCGGTTCGAGTCCTGGACCTGGCAGCTTAAAACTCATGCTGGGCACGTGTGCGTGTGTGCCCAGGATCCCAAGAGGAGAATGGAGAAGAGATTGTGCTGTGGCCATCCCCCCTGGGGAGTAGTTTCTTGCTTTCTGTCTCTCTGTCTCTCTGTCTTTCTGGTGAGCACACGTGCCCTATAGCAAAACCCGCTCCAAAAAAAAAAAAAAAAAGAAAGAAAGAAAAGGAAAACTAACAAGAACAAGGGGACAAGGGGTAGGGTAGGGAACATGGATCAGGAGGAAGGCTTTTGGATAAAGGTAGTGAGTTAGAAATGTCGAATGTGAGGTGGGCAACCAATAGAGCTTAGTCTGGTAGATTCATAGATACCCCTATCTGAGGCTTAGAAATCGAGATTTGGGGGGGACCAGCAGGTGGCATGGTGGTTAAAGCGCTGGACACTCTCACATGGCTGACCACGGTGGCGTGGTGGTTAAAGCGCTGGACACTCCCACATGGCTGACCACGGTGGCGTGGTGGTTAAAGTGCTGGACACTCCCACATGGCTGACCACGGTTTGAGTCTCAGACCTGGCAGTTTGCTTTCTCTCTTTCTCTCTGTTTCCCTTTCTCTCTCTCTCTCTCTCTCTCTCTCTGTGTGTGTGTGTGTGTGTGTGTGTGTGTGTCTGGTCAAATTAAAATAAAATTAATGAATAAATAAAATTTTTAAAAAAAGGAAAAAAGAAATCGAAATTTGGGTGATGGGAGTTACATCCCTGGGTTTGGATAAGAAGGCTTGGGAGAGGGTGTGGAATGAGAAGATGCAGCCCCGGGAATGTGGGTAGTCAAAGCAGTTTGGGGCAGGCCTGTGGGAGGGGGAGGCAGACTGTGGGGCCCCTAGTAAGGTGGGTGAGCTGCGAGTTGATGGCACCCCAAAACTGGATATGGGGAGCCCGAGGGTAGTGCAGCAGCCATGTGTGATGCTCCGCGAGACCTAGCCGCTTGGGCGTTCCGGGTTCACTTCCGGAGACGCTGAGTACGCCAGGCTTGTTTGTCACAAGCTCATGCTCTGGGCGAGGGCACATTGTCGAGACCCTTTTGTGGGTACCATTCCTCTGTCTCTGTCTCTCTCTCTCTTCCTCTCTGTCTTTCTCATTCATGGAAGAAATAAATAAATAAACTTAAAAAAAAAAAATAGAAACACTGGGCCAGGCCTCTGTGGCAGTCAGAACCAGGCCAGACTGCAGAGCGGGAAACCATATGTTGAGCACAGTTTGAATTCTGGGCCCAGTTGGCCTGAAACACGCCAGGTGTATATCTGTGTGTCCAGGATACTGGCAGAGTGGAGGCTGCAGGAAAGGGACTGTGGCATGGCCAGGCCCTGTGGAGGATGCCCCCCCCCCTCTCTTTTGTGCACTCTATCATGAACCAAAAAAAACACCACACTGGTTTTGGAAGGAGGGACTGTGAGAGGGGATGTGACACAAGGATTGTCATTTTCATGGATTCTGCCTTTATTTTTTTGTCTTGAAAATTTTTGTTTTGTTTTGCTTTTGAAAGTTTTTTTGTCTCAGGGTGCTTGTGCTTGCCAGAAAGAGAGAGAGAGACATCCACAGAGAGGGGAAGTGAAAAATCACCCCCAGGGGCCTGACCACACTGAAATCCCTTCTCCTCCATTTTCCTCCTGGGGTCTTGGGCACATATGCATATGTACACGGTGTGATTTTGAAACCACTGGTTCCAGAACTCAAACCGTGGTCGGCCATGTGGGAATCAGCTATGTAACCGCTTCACCATCCGCCGGTCCCTTGCCTTTTTGTAACGATCGAAGATGCCAGGCTAGCTGGTGGTGTGGTGGTTAAAGCAGCTGGATCCCACATCACATTGCCAACTGTGCAGTTCAAGTCTCAGACCCAGTGGCTTGAAAAACACGCTGGTTGTGGGTGCATGTATGCCTAAAATTCTGAGAGGAAAAATGGAGAAGAAAGGATTATGGCATAACTATTCTCTGTAGGGAGTGGTGGGGGATATTTTCAAAAAAGCATTTTTTTTCTTTGTCTCACTTCGGCAAGCACGTGTGCCCTTTGGCAAATGGGAAAAAAAAAATGGAAGGTCCTATTGGATCTTTGGTATTGATCTCTTGCGCCTCTGAAAATCTCCCTTAGTGAAGTTCATGTTCTTGCCAGGCCCCTTGGGTTAACATCATGACATCTGTTAATTCGGGGACTCTTTTTAATTCTTCTTTAGTCAACTTCCCTGAACTCATTTCAGTCTTTTACAATTTTCCTTGCTAGTACTTTATTTTATTCCTAAAGCTATTTCCCACTGAGAAGAGAGATTGTATTTTTCACACCTACAACCAGAATACCCTCTGAAAACCCCTTCTGAGGCTTGGGCTCCTGTGACTACGGCAGGTTAACGCCGCTCAATTTAATCTCTAAGAACCTTCCCCTTTGGCCTCTGGGGATGCTTCCTGAGCTGCACAAATCACTGCAGTCACAGTAGCTGACGGATGGACCACCTGTCCACTCAGACCGTGCACATCGTGCAACTGCTCATAGCCCCCTGTAACCTGTTACTACTATTAAAGTCGAAGCGAGGGACCAGCAGTTGGCGTAATGGCTATGTCACTGGATTCCCATGTAGTCGACCACAGTTCGAGTCCCGGATCCAGTGGCTTAAACTCACACCGGGTGCGTGTGTGTGCATGCCCAAGATCCCGAGAGGATAATGGAGGAGAAGGGATTGCGGCGTGGCCATCCCCCCTGGGGGGTGATTTCTCGCTTTCTGTCTCTCGTCTCTCTCTGCCTTTCTGGCGAGCACACGCGCCCTAAAGCAAAAACCTCAAAAAAAAAAAAAATGTTGAAGTGAGAAGAAAGACAGTGCTCTGTGATGATCCACATTATAGTAAACGACACTCCCTTCCATTCTTTCCAGTGTGTTCACAGAGACCTGGCGGCCAGGAACGTGCTGGTCACCCATGGCAAAGTGGTGAAGATCTGTGATTTCGGATTGGCTCGAGACATCATGAGTGATTCCAACTATGTTGTCAGGGGCAATGTAAGGCTGCTACTTCTTGCAAATGTCTGTATTGCTATTCTGTGTTTTGGCATTCCTACAGTAAACATCTGCACTCATTGTAGTGCAGTTTTGATTTGTGGTATCCTAAAAAAACCCTCACTGCAGTATACTTACTTATGCCTAAGAGTGTTTTCTGCAGCTTCAGGGAATATTGCATCTATAATGTAAGTTGAGCAAAATAACATCACATCTGTCCTTGGACTGGCTAATCAGAACAAATTCACACTAGGTCTTCGAATGTAATATTCACTTAAAAAAAAAAAAAAACCTCTTTTTCTTAAAAAATATTTTATTTAATTTTATTTATTCATCATTTATTTTAATTTGACCAGAGACACATGGGGCAGGGGTAGGGGGGAGAGTGAGAAAGCAAGCCACCAGGTGCAGGACTCGAACTGTGGTTAAACTATGTGTGAGTGTCCAGTGCCTTAACCACCACGCCACCTGCTCGTCCCCCAAAAGTCTCTTTACTTACACTTACTTCAATTCCTGTAGCTATAAAGTGAATATGAAGTTGTAATTCCCGTTTTTAGAAAGGCTGATAATTTCGGGGCCAGCAGGTGATGTGGTGATTAAGGTGCTGGATTCCCACGTGGCTAACTGCAGTTCAAGTTCTGGACCTGTTGGCTTCAAGGTCACGCCAGGCGCATGTACATGTGTGCCCAGAATCCCAAGAGGAAAAGAAAGGACTGTGGTCTGGCCATGCCCCCGGGGCGGGGTGGGGGGTGATTTCTTGCTTTCCCTCTCACTGTGTATCTCTCTCCAGTAATTGCATATGCCCTAAGGCAAAAACCACTAAACAAACAAACAAAAATCCCACAAGGGCTGGGGCCAGCCAAATGGCATGGTGGTTAAGGCACTGAACTCCCACATGGTGACCATTGTTTGAGTCCTGGACCTGGTGCTTGCTTTCTTGTTTTCTCACTTTCTCTTTCTCTGTCTGTCTCTCTTTCTAGTGAGCTCACATGCCCTATAGCAAATTAAATAATAATAATAAATAAAACTAAGTAACTAATTCTTTTTTGAAATTTAACTTTATTATTTATTTATTTATTTTAATTTGGCCAGAGAGGGACATAGCGATAGAAAGAGAGAGAAAGAGAGAGAGAGAGAGCAAGCCACCAAGTCTGGGACTCAAACTACAGTTGGCCATGTGGGAGTCCAAAGCCCTTAACTACTGCGCCACCTGCTGGCCCCTAATAGCTAATTCTTAAAAAAATAAATAAATAAAAGGGGGCAGCTCTGTGACATAGTACCAATTCACTGTTCAAGAGAACCTGATCATACATGATGCCTATAGTTTGAATCCTCATCCTGGTCAGCTTGAAACACGCAAAGCATGTGTGCGAGTACCCAAGACCCGACAGGCTGCAGGACTAGAGGAAGGGGATTATGGCATGACTAGACCCTATGGAAGGTACCCTCTCTCTCTCATACATGCACTCCATCATGGATAAATGGGGAGGAAAATCCTACAAAAACGACAAAACGAAACAGGGGCCAGCAGATGGTGTAGTTGGGCTCTGGACTCCTACATGGCTCATCATGGTTCGAGTCTAAGACTGGCAGCTTTCTTTCTCACTTTGTCTCTCTCTCTAGTCAAATTTAAAATAATAACAGTATGGGGCCAGCAGGTGGTGTAGTGTTGAGGTGCTGAACTACCACATGTTCAAACACGGTTCAAGTCCTGGACCTGGCAATTTGAAACACACTGGGCACTTGTGCATGTGCGTGCTCAATCATGAGAGAATAGAGAAGGGATTACAGCATGGCCAGCCCTCCAAGGGGGTGATTTCTTGCTTTCTGTTTCTCTGTCTCTCTGTCTTTTCGTTGAGCACCCATGCCTTATAGCAAAAATCTCTCTCAAAAAAAAAACCATAACAATAATAATAATCAATAAAATGAAATAATTCTTTTTTTTTTGAGAGGTTTTTGCTATAGGGCACATGTGCTTGCCAGACAGACAGAGAGAGACAGAGAGACAGAAAGCGAGAAATCACCCCCCAAGGGGGATGGCCACACCACAATCCTTTCTCCTCCATTATCCTCTCAGGATCTTGGGCACACATGCACACATGCCTGGTGTGAGTTTAAGCCACTGGGTCTGGGGCTCGAACTGCAGTTGACTACATGGGAGTCCAGAGACATAGCCATTACGCTAACTGCTGGTCCCAATAAATAATTCTTTTTAAAAATTCCGAAAACGAACCAGCAGTTGGAGTAATGGTTATGTCGCTGGACTCCCATGTAGTCAACTGCAGTTCGAGCCCCAGACCCAGTGGCTTAAACTCACACCAGGCATGTGTGCATGTGTGCCCAAGATCCTGAGAGGATAATGGAGGAGAAAGGATTGTGGTGTGGCCATCCCCCTTGGG